ATACACGCATAATCAAATAAATTCAAAATAAATTATTTTTAATTCACGTATACGTATGTAGGCGTCTGATTCTACTGCTGTGGGGGTCACGGGATTAGACAGCCCAATTCTATCCTTAATAAGGTCTCAGAGAGGTGCTCAAGTGTGAGAACCCGACGGCTCAGTCGGCTGCCAGGCCAGCGCCGGCCGCATTGTCATGACTGTTTCTTAGCTGTCTACGTTGGTAACAAAGTATGACTGGCTTCTCCTTGCAATTATTGTGTCATGACATTTCCTCTTCCACAGCACTACTTAAGGGGGATATAACAGATCACATGTCATGCAACAATTTTTTGCGTGTGGCGTGAGGAGAACCTCGCATGTCGTCGAAAGGTAGTACCCCCCCCCCCTCCTTTCCAACCCCTAGCTCATCAGCAAGCCTCAACAAATATTCCCTGCTTAAACAAGGGGGTACCCGCAAGAAATGTTACACGTGGACACATGCGGAAGGAAGTGTGCACTTGCCGTACACGCCCAAGTCCGAAAATCCGGTAAAAATTTGCAATCCATCGGGATTTTGCTGGATCCACATCAGACCCACAGTGGCTTTCGGTTACTGGCTCAGCGGCGCATTCTGCCCTCGTCGACTAATCCAGTAAAATTTAAATAAGTGGGCAGGATTATATATCCCCACCCCCTCTCTCTCTCTTTTAGACAGCCCCCAAAACTGTCGCTCTACCCGAAGGAAAAAGCCCCTCCCTCCCCCCTCCCACTCTGCTGTGTATTTTCATAGGAATGGTGACACAGAAGATGGTTACAAATATATCAGATGCTCGAGAACTGTACACTTTATTAGAACCCGAAAAGCTACAACCAAATCTTGAATAACAGGTGCACATGTGTAACCACCGAGGGGTCCGCCACTCAACCGTTCTTGTTCGAATCGCGTTGGTTTTGCCTGGTGGTGCTGCCCCCCCGGCCCGGTGTGCTTACGCACCAGCGGCGCCGCCCCCTGCCGCCTGCCCCCGCCGCCCGCCCGGCCCGCTCCGGCGAGCTCCACCCTCGGCGCTGTCTCCGTCCGGAGCGGCCCGGGGCTCGGAGAGGGAAGGCCCGGGGAGGACCGGAAGGGCCGGAGGCAGCCGGAGGATATACCGGAACAACCAAGCGGATCGATATAAAACTCGAGATAGACATTTGCCGGCGCCCAGTTCCGCAGACAGCTCGCCGCGGTGCAGTCGAGTAGGAGCTCCAGCGAGGCAGTCCAGGACGACGTCCAGCACCGGGAATAGCATGGCGCCGCCGTGGACTTCCCTCACATGGCTGGTGAGTATACGGTCCTGCAATTTAATGAATATGTTTGCTCGGTGATTTTAGCTTTTCAAAAATATTTTCGAAGTTTGTCAAAAACTAAAACGTTCTCCACAAAGTGTAAAAATTTTGAGGGCCAATAGGCCACTTCCCTCACTAGTCTAAGAGATACGTAGCTGAGATTACAATTAATTAGAGAGAGAAAGGCGATACCACTCAATCAAGTGATCGGCGACAAGAAGAGCGCAAAAAAACACTTTCCACGGACAAACTATGGAAATGCTTAACACTTGTAAGTGTGCAACTGCAAGTTGAATACTTGCAAGTGCTCAACTCGGTGTCTGTACACGTAGTACACTTGGAAGTTTGCAACTCGTCTGTTTGTGCACTTCCCACATAGTGAGCGCCCAATCCAAGAGAGTGTTCAGCAGGAGAGTTGGACACTTGAAAGTGCACAGCTACCAAGTTGAACACCTGTGAGGTACAACTACGGAGTTATGCACTTGCAAGTATTCAACTTATAGTTGCACTCTCGGTGTATCAGAGTATCTCTCTTGGGGATTATTGCTTATTTTCATTAAAATGTGTTCGTAGTTAGAAAACTACAAAGTAATGTTTGCGTATTCATTTGTTTACACTACACGCTGTCAAGAAAACCCACCACGGGACAGTTATTAGTTCCACAAAAATTAATCGTAAATCTACCGAGTCGCTTAGACCCCCAGATATTGCCGCTTAATACTGTTCTAGGATTACTGTACTGAGAGGCACGAAGTGCATTAGTGAATCAGAATGTGATTGCAAGTCATACGCCAGATAGTGCGCCAGCCACCGCCCTTCCGTTGCTGATGCCCCATATCTCACTCCCACGGTCGCCAGAAGGCGGCTTCACTAAGGTCCTGCAAAAAAAAAAAAAAAAAAAAAAAAAATCAGATTTGCACGCACTAATGTCACGTTATTTCTCATGGGACTTTAGAAACATCCCTTAGCCTGGCTGGGCCACATTGAAACGGATGTGATATGATAATTTAATCAATGCCACAATTTTGTTTAGATGTTAACCAGTGGTGACGTCACATTGAATGGTGACTATGGTGTCTTGTTTCAAGTTTTTTCCGATATTTAGAAATGTTTTGTGGGGTCTAAGAAGGAAGACCAGCGGCTTGTTTTTATTTGCCTCCGATATCCAGAAATGTTCAGTAGGGTCTGAATTAGAATTGTGGCAAATTTTAGCGGCCTAACAGCGGAAAGGAGGGGAGAGGGAGCAGGCGGTGGGAGAAAGATCTGTTGGGCTCGGCAGCGTGACGAGGATTTGCCTTAGCCACCACCCACGCTTCCCCCTAGAGGCATGCGGGTTTTTATCTTAAAAATTTCAATTTGCTGGCCTAGCGCTTGAAAACCTACTCTTTCCATATCGAGAGTTCAAGCTAGACACCAACTCAACATACTTGTGTACATCCATAGTTTAGTGTAGGTACTTCAACGTATCACCTGCTAAAAATGACACTAATTTCTTTCCGGGTGGCGTCAAGATGCACGCCGATATGCATGCACGCTTCGCTGCAGTGCGCACCTGCAGTACGCGCATCCGTGCACCTGTGCGCTATGTGAGTGCCAGGTGGGGAGCGAGCAAAGCTCCTGCCTGCAGCGGGGCGCGTGCCTGGAGCCGGGTAGGACCGACGAGTGGCCTCACAACGAGGAAGGAAGTTAGTTAGTTGCACCTCTCAGGGCAAGGCGAGAGGACTCTCTCTCTTCTTCGCGATACGCGATGTTAGACTGTCTCTTCACAATCACGCCCTCAACTGAGATAAGAAGTAAAGGAAAACCGTTAATCTAGTTATTATATTATCTATTTCCGAAAGAACGTCGGTGGTGCACTTTTTCCCGTGGGAGAGCTAATTAAGTGATTGGTTTGTTTGCCACTCGCTCTGGGCACTTTCCATATTATTACGACTCTGTACGTCCGTTTTGTTGCGCAAAAGTAAGTAAAGGCTGGTCAGGCAAGAAGTATAGCCCCCTCGTCGGCCCGGCTCGTTGGACTGGTATACTGTCCACGCTCTGGTTGTCTCCGGTAAGACGGCACTGGTTAGGAAGGAGCCCTGGTTGATTGCGGGAAAATCTACAGCCGCACGCCGTCGTAGTACGCCCGCCCCGCCTCGCCCCG